AACGGTTGAGTCGAGTCCCCGGCCGATCCACTCCGAGCACTGCCCTGAGGGGTGTACAGGCGGAAGTACCACAGCCCATGGGAAACGCTAAGTCTATTCTTGAACCAAGAGAAGTCAGGGGAGAGCGCGAACGCAGTCCCCCACTACCACAAATTATGCAGTCGAGTTTCCCGCATTTGGGGAAATCGCAGGGGTCAGCACACCCGGAGTGCAAGGGATGAGCCTCGCCCTGGGAAAACCACCTGCCTGATCATGGTGTCTCCCCTGCCAGGTAAGTATGACTTCAGCACCACAACGCCCCCCTACCCTGCCCGCCGCACGCCTCCACAACACACGGCCACCCCGACCCCGCACCCCAAATCCCCGCGCCCAACCGCTCCCGAACCTGCGCCCCGGTCCGCACGGCCCGGCCCGGGCAGCGCCCGCGGACACGCGAGGGCAGCGGCGCGTTATTGTGTTTTTTTTTTAATTTTACATTCCCGGCATGCCGCGCGGCGCTGTCTCATTTGCATCGACACGCCCCGCCATAACCGGCTCATGTCCCACCCCAGACTCGTCGCGTCCTTGTGACGTATTCACTTTGGCCATCCCCGGTTCCGTGCTGGTGGCGCGGCCCGCGACGGGGCAGCGGCTCGGGGAGCCCCCGATGGCGTCAGGCGCCGCCCGCGGGCCGCCGTGCCGAGAGCGGAGTCTCCGGGAGTGGCCGGGGCGACAATCTGGTTCTGCCGGGCGGTGCCGGAGCCGGAGCGGGGATCGGGCGGGTGAACAGCGGGTTCTCCGTATGTACCGTGGCTGGACGGAAGGAGGCGGGGCCGCTCCCCGCGGCACGAGGTGGTGCCACCGTGCTAGGTGCTGCGGGACACCGTGTCGTGCCAAGGGGTCTTGCTGCGTTCTGGTGCTAATCCCGGTGTTTTGGGGCAGGGGAAGAGCTTCCGGCGGGAGATCCGGACTGTGAGGATGGAGGAGAAGCTGCCAAATCCCCGAAAAAACCTGTGCGGTCCCAAGGCAGTCCCGGCGGGGCGCTGGAGGGGCGCGGCGAGAGCTCGGCGAACGGGGCCGTGCCACCGCCACGGGCGGCCGGGAAGCGCGGCAGGAAGGGCAAGGCCGAGGTGCTGGTGCTGGAGCTGTCGCAGGCCCCGGAGCCCATCCGCATGGAAAAGGGGCTGGCGAGCAGCGAGGACGGGGACGGCCTTGAGGCCCCTCGGGGCGGGCGGCCCAAGAGGAGGGCGGCCAAAGCGTAAGTGGTGGTGGCAGCAGTTGGGGCCCGGGGGCAGCTAAGCTCTAGAGACACGTGAGAGAGCTGGGAATGTTCAGCCTGGATAAGAAAAGGCTCCAGGGAGGCCTTAGAGCCTCTTATAGTGCCTAAAGGAGCACCAAAAAAGTTGTAGAGGGCCTTTGGACACGGGCCTGTAGGGACAGAACACAGGGGAATGGCTTCCTGCTGCGAGAGCTAGATGGGATATTGGGAAAAAATCCTTTCATTTGAGGCTGATGAGGCCCTGGCACAGGTTGCCGAGAGAAGCTGTGGCTGCTCCATCCCTGGAATTTTCCAAGGCCATGTTGAATGGTCCTTGAAGCACCCTGGTCTAGTGGAAGGTGTCCCTGCCCATGGCAGGGGGTTGGAACTGGATGAGCTTTAAAGTGTCTTCCAACCCAAACCATTCCCTGGCTCCATGATTCAATGATCTCTGTCTCCCCAGAGGGTCTCAGTGTCTTTCGTGTAGGACTTTGTCCCATGTTGGTGGGATGCACTGATTCCTCACAGACCAATCCTTTCCCACTTTAGGGAATGTTTTTGGATCCAGGAGCCCCTGGCAGAGGGCAGCAGCTGCCTGTGGCAGGAGGAATTTCCTTGGTTCCTGACAGAGCAGGAGGAGCTTATTGGTGGTAGCAGGGCAAGCTCCAGGGAGTTCAGGGAGGGGGGAGGCTGTGTGCTCAGCACCTCTGGCACAGCTGGAGCAGATTCATTGCCCAGACCACGGGGCTGGAGTGTGCATCCACCGGGTCCTGGAGGGAGGGAGGCAGGGCTGGCCCACCCCTGGGTCATCCTGCTGCTTACCTCCAGGCGCTGCCCTGGTGTTGCAGGGCTCTGCTGTACCTGCAGGAGCTGGCGGAGGAGCTGATGCCCGCGTGCCAGCCCCCTGCTCCAGCCAAGGGGGTGCCAGAGCCCGAGCACGTCCGGAGGAAGCGCCGGGGCCGGAGGAGGAAGGGGGAGGACACGGACAGCGATGACCCTGCACAAGATGCTGACTTCGTGCCCTCGCAGGAGGTGCTGCAGGCAGAGGAGGAAGAGGAGGGCAGCGACACGCTGTTCAGTGAGGCGTCGGAGCCAGAGCTGGAGGCACCTCGAGGGCACAGCGGGAGGATGGCAGCCACGGGGGTGAGGGCAGGGGCAGGGGCTCTGCCTGGGTCCCTTCTTGCCTGTGTCCCAGCACCAACAGCTCCAGAGGCCTGTGCTGTCCCACAGTGTCCCTGCTGCCAGGGCAGGACAACTGGGCAGGGGTGGCACATGGGGGAGCTCCAGGTGAGGGCCAGTGGGGACGGGAACAGGGACAGGTCCTCTGGGAGAGGAAGCAAGGCCTGCACTCCCGCTGGAGCAGGGGAAGGTGGAAGAGGTCCTGAAGGGGTCCTGGCTCCTGGAAGTGGGGCTGTGTGTCTTTAGCCCAGTGTGGCACGTTGACAGTGGCTGGGGAGAGCTCTGTTCTCAGGGGCTGTGGTAGTTCCCGTTGGGACAGGTGGGTCCCCCAGGGCTCAGGGCTTGCTCTGAGTCTGCTCTTGTGCCCAGAGATCCAAGCCCCAGTGCCGAGGCCTCGCCCCCAATGGCTTCCACAACTCCATCATGGCCCCAGTGGAGAAGAGCTCCAGCCTTACCTGCAGCCTGTGAGTGGGGGCTCGGGGTGCTCGAGGCTCAGGGGGGCTACAAGGAGCAGTGGGTGTGTCCTGGTACCATCCCTGGCACAGATACAAGGGTGACGGGGTGCGTGCCATTGGGAATGTCAGTATTGTGCTGGGATGGGGCACAGTTGGGTCGGGAGGGTTGCAGAGGTCAGGGGCCGTGGTGCAGGAGAGGAGGCTGTGTCACAGGATGCAGTTGGGGGGTGCTGCTCGTGCCGTGGGGAGGGGATGTGAGGAGGGGGTGCTGGATGCCACGGCTGAGGTCTGGCATGCCCTGCAGGCGGGAGCAGAAGCACTCGCAGTGGGAGTTCCCTGACTGGATCCCAGTGGCACACAGGTGGACGTGTCTCTCTGACAGGTACCATGGGAGCAGGGAGGGAGCAGGGCCAAAGGCAAAACGGGGCAGGTCCCAGCAGTGTCTGGGGTGGGCCAGGGCATGGGGGGGCTGTACTCCCACACCCCTCTATGTGTCTGGTGTGGGCTTTGGGGGTCTCTTGGATTTGGCTGTGGAGCACCGTGGCCAGCAACAGGGCCTGTCAGGCTGTGTGGAGGCTGGGATGGTGCTGGGGCACGGGGCTGTGCTGGGGTGACTGGGTGAGGGATGGGGAGACCTGCTCTCACTCGTGCCTGCACAGCGAGGCTGCCCCGTACCTGCCGGCAGAGGAGAAGTCTCCCCTGTTCTCCATTCAGCGCGAGGGCATCAAGGACGATGGTGCCTTGTACAGGTTAAACAGGTGTGTGATGGGGTGTCCCCAGGCCCAGCAGGTGTTTGTTGCCTGTCAGGCTGTCGCCCTCCTAGCGTGGCAGTGGCTGTCAGGGTGTCCTCAGGCCTGTCTGGGACCAGGGTTGCATCCCTGGGTTGGGCAGCCAGCCCATACTGTGCCCTGGGGTCCCACCAGCCTCTGCCCCAGCTCTGCAGAAGCCTTCACCCCTCTCCTGCCCACAGGTTCAGCTCTCTGCAGCCCCACCCGGAACGCCTGGATGTCTCTTTCTTCGTGGGCGGCCCGGTGTGGGCGATGGAGTGGTGCCCGACCCCGGAGGGCTCTGCAGCCCCACAGTACGTGGCCGTGTCCTGCCACAGGAGCATGGAGGAGACACACAGTGTGTCTGGGCTTCACTCAGGCCCTGCACTCCTGCAAATCTGGGACCTAGGCATGCTGCACACAGAGCACGGGTGAGTGCCTGGGTCTGCCTGGATCTTGTGTCTCTCCATGGCTGCACGGGTGGTGAGGCTTGTCCTCTCCCAGAGCCACCAGCCGCAGCCTGAACCCCAAGGAGGCTGTGCTGGTGGCCAGATCTGTTAGTGGTGTACACTGTTGTGTATTGGAGCTGCTGGGCACCAGCTGCCATGTTACTCATGCCCACAGGTCTCCCAGCAAAGCCAGGCTGGCCTATGCCATTGCTGCTGACTATGGCTGTGTGTGGGACATGAAGTTCTGCCCCAGCGGTGCCTGGGAGCCACCCACTGTAGCCCGGACGGTGAGTGCTGCTCAGGGGCTGCCCCTGGGTTCCCCAGGGCATCTGAGAGGTCACCCCATGTCTGAGTCCATGTGTCCATCCCTAGCACCCACAGATGAGCCGGCTGGGCCTGCTGGCTGCTGCCTTCTCAGACGGCAGGGTGGTGGTGTATGCCTTGCCGCACCCTGGGGCCCTGCAGCACGCCAAGACAACCCAGGTAAAAGGTAGGAAGAGCCACACCGCCGAGCAGGGGCGTCCTGGCCCTCCTCCTCCTATACCAGGGTGGGACTGCAAGCCCCGGGCTGGGCACCTGAGTCTGTAGGAGCCTGCTGTGCTGGGGAGCTGCCAGCAGGACTGTGCCCCAGCCTGGGAGCTGCATGGTGGGGAAGTGAGCCCACCTGATCCCCAAGATCAGGACCCTGCTGTCCCCAAACTGTCACAGGTATAGTCTGGGATCCAAGGCTGCTTTTTGATGTTGGGGGCCTGCTTTGAGTGCTCTTGTGCCCAGAGATCCAAGCCCCAATGCTGAAACCTTCCTTCCAACGGCTTCCACAATTCTGTCGTGGAATTCCAGTGGAGAAGAGCTCCATCCTTACCCACAGCCTGTGTGAGCAGAGGCCATGTGCAAAGTGCTGCTTTGGTTCCATCTTGGGGACACTGCAGCAGCCTGGCTGGGATGTAGCTCCTGGGCAGCCCCCAAAAGCTGGGCACTGGGGGGGCTCTCAGCAGCATCACTGTGGCCATAGCGGGGTGCAGGGTATGGTGCAGCCACAGAGCGTGTCCCCAGCCTTTCCCCATCTCCGTCCTGCCACAGCTGCTCCCGCCAGTCTGGCCAAGGCACGTTAGGGTAGGGCAGGAGTGTGGCCAGCTCAGGCTAATGGTGCCTGTAATAGACTGAGCGGGATTGATGGCAGTGCGTGCTGGCGGGGGGCACTCAGCCGTGGCCGACAGGCAGCACTTCTCTGCTGACAGTGGGAAATGGGCTGCCTGTGGCCAGGCACGGCTCCCAGCCCCCGCTGCACTCTGGCTGTGCCTGTGGCTGGCTGGGCTGTGCTGCAGCCCCTGTGGCACGTAGTGATGGAGCCCACGCAGCTCCTGCCGGCGCCTGGCGCCTGGCACATCCTCGGCTGCGGCGGCACTTACGGACATTGCAGCTCACAGCTGGGCTGGAGCGCTGCTTTCCAGCCACAGGATCAGGGCCAGGCTGGGGGGCCAGGCCCTGCTGGGAGCTCCCAGACTGGCATGGCTGTGCTAGCTGTCCCTGGGGCACTGAGGACGTGTTCCTGCCTGCAGAGCTGGGGCTGCTCTCCACACTGCATCCCGGCTGTCACAGCTGTGCTGGGAAGGATGCACAGCTCCTCCGTATCTCCATCCATGGCTGCCACACTCCAGGCTGTGGCGTGCCTGTCTGGTGCTCACTGTGCTGGAGGACAGCCCCACACTGGGGGTCAGGGACCCCAGGCCCAAGGGATGTGTAATGGGGTCCCCACAGCACTGATGGTTGGGGGGATTCTCTGGTAGACAGAGCTGGTGCTTGATGGTCCTGTGGGTGTCCTACCCTGAGCTGTTGGGTGTAGGTTCTCTGCAGCCTGCCCTCTCAGCCATGGAACAGATGTCCTGCACAGCTCCTCTCTGCCTTCCTGGAGCGGTCAGTCAGGTTTGGCCCTGTGTGTCACTGTGACTTTGGTGCTGGCCATGGTGGGGCAGGAGCACACTGTCTCTGCCTGCAGCACGTTTCAGGGGCTGCTTCCTCCAACACACAGGCAGACTTTGCTCCTGGGGGTCCTGCTGCCACCAGTTTGCTCCTCCCTGTGCTTCAGTTCCTGCTGTGCTGGGGACACTGCTCCGGGGAAATGGCAGGGCAGGGACTGGGAGCCCTGGCCAGGGCCATGAGGAGCTGCAATCCAGGCTCCAGGCAGGGAGCTCCCAGGACAGCTAATGCCTGCCCTGACCCCCTTCTGCTCTCTTCTAGATGGGTCCCTCCACAAGCACCTTATCTGCAAGGTCAGTGTTCCCCACCATGGTGATCCCTGTCAGGGCCGGCACCCGGCGAGCCCCCCAGCCGGTGCAGGTGGCACAGCTTGGGCAGCCAAGGCACCTGCAGAGCGTTGGAGGGGCAGAGCAGTGTCGTGCTCTCACCCCAGGCATCCTGCTCTTGGGGCATGGATGGCACCGGTGCAGGGCTGTGACCCAGGGCTCTCCCTTGGCCCCCAGGTGCAGTGCATCGCCACACTTCAGGTGGGCTCCATCCAGGCAGGTAATGCCTCTGAGTGTGGACAGTGCTTCAGTCTCTCCTGGATGCCTTCCAAGCCCCACCATCACCTGGCAGCAGGGTTTTATGATGGTGAGTCTCTTTCTGTGCCCTGCAGCAGCCCTCGGGGAGCAGCCCTCACCCTGGCAGAGACACTGGAGCCTTGTGCTCAGCCTCAACTGGTGCTGGAACCTCTGCCCAGCCCTGGGTCAGGGCTGGCTGTTGTCATTCTGACATACTTCCAGGCTGATCGTGCCTGTCTGTTCCTCTGGGCTTATCCACATCTGTTGGACTTGCCTGGATGGAATTTTCTGCTAGGCTTGCAGTGATCCACAGCTCTGTGCTGAATTGCCAGGACCTGCTACCATGCTGTCTGCTTGGAGCCCCAGCTTCAGCCTGGCCACCATGTTCTATGGCCCTGCCTGTGCTGCTGCTGCGTCCTGCCACCATCCTGTCCTGGTCTCAGCTCCAGTTCCAACCTGGCTGCTCTGTTCTGCAGCTCCTGCAGGCCTGTGCTGCTGCTGGTCCCCCACTGAAGCACCTGTGCCTTTGGCAGGGCCTCATGGACACAAGTCTTTCCGCAGGCACCGTGGCGGTGTGGAACCTGCTCACCAAATCCCTGCTGCAGTGTGTGCCCCAGCCTGACGCCTCCCTCAAGCTCTACCCTTTCCGGTGCTTTCTAGCCCATGACCACGCAGTCCGGAGCATTGAGTGGTGCAAGGCTGACAGGTGAGGGCAGGAGCAGGGACAGATGCTGCCAGGAGAGGAGCTTCCTCTTGCAGGAGAAGGTCCTTTGTCAAGAAGGGCTTGGGAGGCCGTGGTGCCAATGGCACTTGGTCCTCTGCAGCTCCTGACAGGTTGGGCTGGGCTTTCCAGGGTAGGGCAGTGGGGTGGGCACAGCTCCATGCTGGGCTCTCAGTGCTGCCTTTTCTCCTGCTTTGCAGCAACTTCCTGGTCACAGTAGGCAGCGACCGCAAGATCAAATTCTGGGACCTGCGGCGGCTCTACGAGCCCATCAACAGCATCAAGCGCTTCCTGAGCACCGAGGTGGCCTGGCTGCTGCCCTACAATGGCATCACTGTGGCCCAGGACAACTGCTATGCCCCGTGAGTGCTGGGGATCAGTCCTGTTGCCAGGCCTGGTCCAACTTCCCGGGAGCCCCTCTGGCTTCCCCCTCCCTGGGACTGTCCAGCTGTGCCATGGCAAGGGCAGGCTTTGCTTGTTTTCGGTCACACTGCAGCAGCACAATGTGACATCCCCTCTGCCATGCCATCCTGATGCAGAGGCAGGGTGGGCCCAGGGATGGCCTACCCCTGGACTGGGCAATGGAGGTTTGGGGTCTCAGTGAGTTCTTGGCCTCTGGGAGCTGCTTTGAGCTGCCTCTTGGCTCTATGATGTGCTGCTGGAGCAAGAACAGCCCCCTCACCCTGGGCCAGTGCTGTGGGGAGATGGGCTGTGCCTGGCTCTCGCATTCCTGGTGACTGCAGAATCAGGCTTCCCGTGCCTCATTTTGTCCCTTCCACCCCAGGTATGGGCTCTGTGGGATCCACTACATCGACGCCGGGTACCTGGGCTTCAAGGCCTATTTTGTGGCCCCTCGCAAGGGCACCGTGTGGGTAAGGGCCAGTGCAGGGCTACTCTGTCCCAGTGGGCAGCTCAGCACCAGCTGGGGCGCAGGGCTTGTGGGTGGGGTGACAGTGCTGGGCTGGGGGTGGTGGGAACCCCATGCCCTCCCTCCAGCCCTCTGTCCCTGCAGAGCATCTCTGGCTCGGACTGGCTGAACACAGTAGCAGCGGGTGACATCACCGGTGAGCTGGTGGCAGCGGTGCTGCCCGACCTGGCTGTCAATCCCCTCAACGTCAAGCGCTCCTCGGACCGCAGATTTGTAAGAGACCATTGCGCTCGGGTGGCCCAGCCCAGCACACGGGGCTGGCAGGGGGCAGGGGGACCATGGCAAAAATGTCCCGGGCCCCCCCATCCCCCTGGTCCCGGGTGGTCCCTGTCTGCAGAGGAGCAGCAGGATCTCTGTCTGCTCTACCCTGAGCCCCCTCTCACCCACAGCCAGTGTACAAAGCTGACCTGCTGCCATGCAGCCCTGACGGGCCTGAGCACACCGAGCAGGTACTGCCGAGGACCCATTGCTACAGTGAGATGGTAGCCAGGAGTTACATCCGATTCCAGGACACGGACCTGGTAGGAGAGGACAGGGGGCATCCAGGGTCCAGCCCATGAGCAGGGCTGGTGGGGCTGTGGCTGGGCACTGGGGGCAGCAGGGCCAGGAGGTGCTGCCAGGGCATTGGGGCAGCCCTTACCACCGGCAGGGCTGAGATTATGGTGCATGCAATGCTCCTGCCTCGGGCCTGCAGCCCAAGGTGGTGCCACCACTTTCCAGCGCAGCTTCCAGAACTTCCCAAGCCGGGAGCCCATGCGCCGGATGCACAACCAGGAGCTGAAGGCAGAACTGAGCCTTGACCGCCTGCAGATGGAGGCCCTCCACAAAGTGAGTGTGCCAGGCTGAGCCCCAGCCCCAGCTCTGCTCTGGGGGCCCAAGTCCTCCCTTGTGAACTCCTCTCTTCCCACAGGTGCGCTTCAGCCCCAACCTGGACTCGCAGGGATGGCTGGTGTCAGGCGGGCAGGCGGGCATTGTGCGGGCACACTGCCTGGCAGGGCTGGCCTCTGCTGTGGGCCACCAGCTGCTCCCAGAGTGCCAGGCCCGCTTCAGCGTCCTCTATGGGGACACACCCAGCAGCCCTGGCCCCCCTGAGCACTCCCTGCTGCCAGTGGAGTAGGAGTGTCGGTCCCTTATGCTGCTGCCATGTGCTCACCCTGGGCAGGGCTTGGGGCTGGGGCCAGCTGTGCTGGCATGGGGCTGTGAGCCCTCTCAGTGCTGCTTTCCCAGTGGATGTCTGCTGCAGGAGAGACAGCTGCTCCCAGCCATTCCCTGGGATGCTCTGGGCCTGGAAGGGTCCATCTGTGCTGTTTGGTCTGAGCTGGGCAGGGGTGGTGGGACCTGTGCTTGTCCCGGGGCTGAGCTGTGGGTCTGACCCTGTGGAAGCACCCATGGGCTCCAGCAGCATGAAGCTGTGCTTGTGCTCGCCTCCATCCCCCCTGTGCGCCCAAGGGTGGCGAGGGGGCCGGGAGCTGTGGAGTCGCTCACATTGAGCTTGTGTTCAGCTGTGCAGAATAAATGTGGTTGGTTTTGTATGGCTGTGGTGGTACTGGCACATGGCCAGTAGCTGTGACTGTAGGGGCCCACCCCCAGCCACCATTTCCCTCCCCATGCCCCTCTGTCTGCTGCACTCCTCCTGCTGCTCCAACACATTTATTGGCAGCGCTGGCACCGCTGCTGGCACACATGGACAGATGGACACCAGGGGCACAGGCACGACTCAGCAGAGGGAATGGATCAGGCCCAGGCACGGCAGGATTCAACGGAGCCCCGAGAGCAGCATGGGGGGCTGGGGCCAAGGCCAGGTCTGAGGTCCCCTATGGGGGACGTCCCTTCCTGTCAGGACAGACAGGCTCCCTGGGGACTGGGTGGGGCGGGATTCCACCTGCCAGGAGCTGTGGCACAACAGGGAGTGGAAGATCCCAGGGAGCCCCTGTGCTCCACAGGCCAGGCCATGTGTCCATCCCCCAGGACACCACACTGGAGTCTCGCCAGGGCTCCGCAGCCGTGGGGCAGGCAGATGAGGGGATGGGATCTCAAGCACTGCCCTGCTCTACCACAAGGACCTGGGGCCAAGGCAGGATCTGGCCCAATGTAGCAGCAGGTGAGGGTCTCAGGTTCGGGGGTCCTGGCAGTGAGGACAACCTGCTGTCTCCTCCTGGTGCCGCTCCACCTGTACCGTGCACAAGGCAAAGCCAAACCTGCTCTGGAGCCGGGCAGTGACCTCCTGCAGCACCGTCTCAGCGTCAGCACTGGCATCTAGGAGCAGCAGGGCAGGGGCTCGTTCCTGGCATGGCCAGTGGGACCCCCTGGCCGTGCCCTGTGCGGGTCACTCACCCACAGCCACGTGCACCGACACGGCGGGGTGGCTCAGCGTCAGCGCCCAGAGGTGCAGGTCATGGACACCCCGCACCCCGCTGGTCTCCAGCAGCACCTCCTTCACCGCATCGAACTCCAGGCCCTGCGGTGTCCCTGCCAGCACCACCTGCTCACACGGGGCCACCCTTGGCCCCCAGCCATAGCACCCACCTGGGTGAGGGCTCCCAGTGGAAGCCACTGGGGCTGGGGGCTTCCCCAGGGGAGCCAGGTTGGGCATGGTGGCTTTGGGGTGAGACAGGCGTCACCTTGGGGCCAATGCACCTGGCTGGAGTGGAGAAGAGGGACTGGGGGGGATTCAGGTGGGGCAAGGGAAGGACAGAGGAGGTGAGCAGCCCCATGGGCAATGTGCTGTGGCAGATGCAGCTCCAGGAGCTTCTGTGCCCACACTGCACCTGTGGTCTCACACCCCTCTCAGTCACTGCTCACCTTCCATGAGGACCCTGAAGACGTCTCTGAGGATGGTGATTGTGGAGCCAAGGACAAAGACCGAGAAGAAGAGGGTGCTGATGGGGTCTGCAATCTTGCACTGGGGCTGCAAAGAGCAGGGTCTCTGTGAGGCTGGGGGCACCACATGGCACCCTGCACGGGACTGGGAGAGCTGTTCCCTCATTGGGGCAGTCCAGCCCGGGCACCTTGAAGTAGATGATGGTGGCAGCCACGAGGACACTGACGCTCTGCAGCAGATCACCCACCACGTGGACGAAGGCTGCCCTCACGCTGGTGCTGCCGGGCAGGGGGCTGTGGCTGGGCTGGCAGGACGCAGAGCTCTCCAGCATCTCGTAGGCCCCTGTGCCATGGCCGTGGCCAGCAGGGGACTGGTGCAGGATGTAGGCCATGCTGGGAAGAGCAGGGCTGGCTCAGTGCCACACTGACAGGGCATGGGGACCCTGCTGGCCCTGCTTGGGCAAACGGGGCACAGGCAGTCACACCTGGGTCTTGGGACAGTGGGAGGAATGGGGCTGGCGGTGCAGCAGGGCTGGAAGGTGTGCAGGAATAGGACAGGGCTTGGGAGGCGCTTCTTGAAGGACCAGGGAATGTGGGGTGCGGAGATGTAGGCGCATGGACTGGAAGCACCGAGCATATGGGGGACAGGGAAGCGGGGGAGGCAGTGGCTGTGGACACAAGGCTGGGGACAGTTGGGGTTCTTGGGGTTCCGGGGAGGAGGTGGGGCAGGACTCAGGCTGATGGAGCCCTGAGTGGGACATACACCAGATTGACGCCGACAGCACAGGCGGATGTGGCCAGCATCGCTTGCGCCTCGATCTCGTAGTCGTTGCTGATAATGCGGGCGGCCGCCAGATAGACAAGAGCTGCAGTCACGACCCAGATAGAGAGGACAGAGGCCAGTGCACCGAGTGTCTCTGTGGGATGAGGCCGTCAGCACCCAGCCCGGCCGTGGGGGTCCCGTGGAGCCCCACAGGGCCGTGCCCCTCAGCTCACCTGAGCGGTGCCAGCCAAAGGTCATGGTCTTGGTGGGCGGGCGGCTGGAGACCCAGAGGGAGAAGAGGCTGACGGACATGCTGCCCACGTCCGTCAGCAGGTGGGCTGCATCCGTCATGATGGCCAGGCTGTGTGCCAGGTACCCACCTGTGGGCACAGAGCAGCTGGCACCCCGCGCCCCGCAGCAGCCCCCCACCCCGGCCCAGCCGCTGTTACCTATCACCTCCCCGACCATAAAGAGGCAGCAGACGGCGCAGGCGACGCTCAGCTGCTGGCGGGCCTGGAGCCTGCCCTGCCCAGGGCTGGGGGTCGGGGGGCTGCAGCGGCAGCGGGGATCTGGAGCCGGAGGGTCTCGAGAGCCTGTGAAGAGACTGAGGGCAGGGGTCACTACCGGCAACACCGGTTCGGGGGTTCCTGCCCAGAACCTCCGAGGGTCCTGCTACCTCCCGGTGGTACGCAGCCAGGCAGTCTGTGAGGCACCGGTGGAACCATCTCCTCCAGCAGGATGAGCAGCCACGGCACCGGCGGCAGCAGGAGGAGGCGGTGGCACGGGGCTCCCGCCGGAACCGGAGACGGGACCGGCGCGGGTACCCGCGGGGAGGTGCGGCTGGGAGCCAGGTGTTGCGCCTGGAGCCAGGCTGCGGGACGGGCCAGCGGTGCGGAGACGTGGGGAAGGGGCGGCGGGGGCCGAGGTGCTGGTGCGTGGGGCAGCAGTGAGGGAGCGGGGACGGGGGCGAATGGATGGACGGTACCGGTGTGGGCGGGTGATGGATGGATGGTACCGCTGTGCGTGGGTGACGTTTGGGCGCCGATAGGTGCGGGACGGACACCCGAGGGGGAAGCGAGGCTGGCGCATGGTGGGGCTGGTTCCGCTTGAGCGGAGGTGCCGGTGGCAGGGCGAACGTGCCGGTGGCGGGCTGACGGTGCAAGTGGCGGACGGTCAGGGCTGGCGCGGGGACTGCGGAGGTGCCGATGTCCGTGTCGGATGGATGGAGGCACGGGGGCTGGCGGGAAGGGACGTGCCGGGGGTGCCGGTGTCGGAGGTGGGGGTGGGCGGCGCGCGACGTGCAGGGGGCTGGAGAGTCCCGGAGGGGCTGGGGGCGATGGAAGTGCCAGGGATGATGGGCGAGCAGGTGCCGGCGGCGCGGGTGCGGGAGGACCGAGGGTTGCAGATGCGGGGGATAATGGAGGTGGCGGTGCGAGGAATTGTCGGGGGCCATGGGAGGTGATGGGGTGCCGGGGGTGGCGGTGTCGGGGTAATGAGGGTGCCGATGATGGAGGTGCTAGTGCCGGTAATGGGGTTGTCGGGACCATGGTGTGCCAGTGGGGATGGAAGTGCCGGTGGTGCCTGGGATGTCGGAGATGCCGGGACAATGCGGGTGCCGGTGATGGAAGTGCCGTCGGTGCCAGAGGCGCCGGTGATGGGGTTGTGCTGGCGGTAGTGGGGGTGCCGGGGTGATGGGATGCCAGGGCGATGGGTGCCGGTGATGGATGAGCCGGACGTGCCGGTGATGGATGCCGGGGCGATGGTTGCCGGTGTCGGCGGTACCTCTTGAGGCGCAGGCTGCCGTCGGCGCGGCCGCCCCGCGGGCTGACCAGGCGGGCGCTCTCGGTGCCGGTCGGGGGCTCCATCCCGGGAGCGAGCGGCACCGCGGGCACCGGCACCGCCGAGCCCCGCCCCTGCCGTGACTCCGCCCCTCCCGCCGGGCCCGGCCCCGCCCCGCCGTCTCTCCGGACTCCGGGGCGGGGGCGTCCGCGGCGGGGTGCGCGGGGCTGCTCGGGGGTTACGGTCCAATGGATCTCCAGGCAAATACCTGGGAGCTGTGAGTAAGGGGCGCTGCTTTCACGGCAGAAGCTCTTCGGGGCAGGGCTCAGCCTCACCTCTTTGTCCCTGGGCAGGTGATAACACGACTGATCCTGGAAGCGGTCTGAGCACGGGAAGAACAGGAAGGGAGCTGAAGAGAAGCTGGCACGGTGTCACCGACGGGGATCGTGCCTGACCATTCCGATCACCTTCCGCCGTGAAATACTGGGTCCGGTGCACAAGGGGAGTGCAGGGGACAGTGTCTCCTCAGGCTACGGAAGGCTTTTGGCGCTGTACCCCTTGGGATCCTCCGAGAGAAGTGTTGGGAGCATGGGGGGTGCTGCATTGAACAAAGTCTGTATGGCCGAGCCCAGAGCAGGGTATTTAGCGTCCAGTAACGACCAGTGTACCCCGGGGTTAGTTCAGAGTCCAATCCCGTCTACCGCCGCCTTTAGGGACCTGGAGGCCAGGCAGAGCACGGTGACAGGTGACACGGACCGGGGAGAAGTGGCTTCAGCCGGCGGGTCGTGCTGCTCCGTAGTGTGGAGGGGTTCAGGATGCGCGGCAGAAAGGGGAGCTAGGAGCCTGGGGGAGGGTCAGCACGGGGCAGTGCCGGGTCCTGACCCGGGAGGAACAACCTCAGGACGGGTAAGAGCAGCCGGCTGGGAAGCAGCTCCGCAGAAAAGGCTCCAGGGGTCCTGGGAGACACCGACTTGACCATTGTTGAGCCAACAATGTACCCTTGGCGCATCCTGGAAACCACCCCGTAGCGCCGGGCCCAGCGTTGGCTCGCCAGGACACGAGGGACAAGGACAGGGACAAGCTGGGCAGAGCCCGCCGAGCACCCTGTGACGCTGCAGGGCCGGAGCGGCTCTGCTGGGGTGAGGCTGCGGCAGCAGAGCGGGCCCGGAGATACCTGGCTGTGCCACCTCTGGGGAGGGGTCTGCAGGTGAGCCCCGCGCTCCCGGGGCTGCCCGGGGCGTGGCCCTGTGCAGGAGGCGTGGCCCTGTGCAGGAGGCGTGGCCCTGTGCAGGAGGCGTGGCCCTGTGCAGGAGGCGGGGCCTGTGCAGGAGGCGTGGCCTGTGCAGGAGGCGGGGCCTGACTGCTCCGGGCCCCTCAGCACGACCTGTCCCGGCAGCCCCCGCGGCCGCGCGCGGCAATGGCGGCGGCGGGTGCGGAGCAGCGGCGGGGAGCGGCGGAGCCCCCGTTGGGATCGCTGCTCAGCCGGCTGCCGCTGGCGCCCGCCCCGGCCCCACGGCGCCGCACCGCCAGCCAGTGCAAGCCGGAGCCGCCGCTGCTTCGCACCAGCAAACGGACTATCTACACGGCCGGGCGGCCACCCTGGTACAGCGAGACCGGCGCGCCCGTAGATGAGGCCTTTGTCATCGGTGAGCGGTGGGACGGGGCCGGGAAGGGGATGGAGCTGGATCAGAAGGGAGATGGAGCCCAGACCGGGCCGGGGAGGGGATGGAGGGCGGACCGGGCCGAGGTCGGGCTGCAGTCGGAAGTTGTGGAACCAGGCCCCAAAGAACGGCCGAGGAAGGGCTGGGACCGGGCCAGAGCCGGATCCGGATTCGGGGCCCTGACGGATCCGGGGCCGGGGCGGTGCCCCCGCCGCTCCCCGCAGGCCTGTGCGGCGGCAGCGCCTCGGGAAAGACCACGGTGGCGACGCGGATCATCGAGGCGCTGGACGTGCCCTGGGTCGTGCTGCTCTCCATGGACTCCTTCTACAAGGTGCGGGACGGGGGGCCCGGGGGCCGGGACAGCGCGGAGCGGGGCCGACACTCGCGGTTCCAGCGTGCTGCTGGGTGGTGCTGATGCTCGGGGCTCCAGGGATCCGGCGCGGCACTGAGCAGTGCCGGAGGGCCGGTGCCTGTGGATGCCGGGATCCGGTGCGACACTGAGCAGTGCCGGTGCCTGCGCATGCCGGGATCCGGCGCGGCACTGAGCAGTGCCGGTGTCCCGGTGCCTGCGGATGCCGGGATCTGGTGCAGTGCTGAGTGGTGCTGGTGCCCCGGTCCAGGCATCCGGCACGATGCTGAGCACTGCCGGTGCCTGCAGGTGCTGGATGAGGGGCAGCAGGCGCTGGCAGCCCGCAGCGACTACAACTTCGACCACCCCGATGCCTTTGACTTCGAGCTGCTCGTCAGTGTCCTGCGCAAGCTCAAGAAGGGCAAGAGCGTGAAGGTGCCGGTGTATGACTTCACCACACACAGCCGGCGCCGCGAGTGGGTGAGTGCCGCAGGGGCCAGGCTGGGCCTGGGGGCAGAACCCCGGGAAAGGGGAACATCTCTGGGTGCTGCAGGGTTAAAGAGAGGGGGCGGTTGGGGGTCATCAGGAGTGGGGAACTCATTCTGGGGAGACTCTGGGTGGATCTGCAAACAGTGCCGATGTGAGGGAGGGACTCAGAGGGGTGCTGGAGGGATGGCATTGAGCAGAGACTTGGGATCTGGAGCAAGGTTCAGGGTCTGTCCTGGGCTGGAGCATCATGCACAGGGATGAGCATTGGGTACTGCAGGACAGTTATGGAGAGCCCCAACACAGTGGTGAGAGCCCAGAGGGGTCAGTGCCCTGTTTGTGTCAGTGTTGGTGCTGCCGTGGCAAGCGAGAGAAACAGGACAAACCCAGCTCCTGTTTTCCTGCAGAAAACAGTGTATGGGGCCAATGTCATCGTGTTCGAAGGGATCCTGGCCTTTGCCAACAAGGAGCTGCTCAAGGTATCGCTGCCTCAGGTGGCTGCTGGCCCAGGAGGGGATGTGCTGCAGCAGGACAGGCACTGGCCGTGGGGGCTGCGGAGGGAGAGGGCACCCCACTTGCTGGCAGAGCACTGCTATCGGGGGCCTCAGGGGAGGCGATGCTGGGTGCCATTGCTGGGCGGTGGAGGGGAGTAACACAGGTATGGTGAGAGCTGCATAGGGGGTGCTCACCCCTCCCAGTTTTCCAGCTCCTGGACATGAAAGTGTTTGTGGACACGGACTCTGACATCCGTCTGGTGCGGCGGCTGCAGCGCGACATCATGGAGCGCGGGCGTGATGTCGCAGGGGTCATCAAGCAGTACAACAAGTTTGTGAAGCCGGCCTTTGAGCAGTACATCGAGCCCACCGTGCAGGTTGCCGACATCGTGGTGCCCAGGGGTGAGGCCAGAGCTGAGCCTGGCGTTGGGAGCGGGTGTTCTGGGGCAGGGGTGGGTCAGCGTCCGCCCCACCCGGCTCCTCTGCTCCACTCTCAGGTGGGGAAAACTTCGTGGCGCTGGACCTCATTGTGCAGCATGTGCACAGCCAGCTGGAGAAGGTGAGCTGGGGTGAGGAGGAGAAGGGTCCTGCATGCAGAGAGCAGGATGTAGCTGCACATAAACTTGTGCTCCTGGAGCACCTGGGGGGAATCTTGACCTCTCTCTTCTCAAAAAGCCCTGGCATGGTGCTTGGGGGAGCATCTCTGTGAAGTGGGCCCTGGGAGGAGGGTGGGGAGCCACCTGGGTGGTTGTGGTGGCTGTGCTGGCCTGTGAGTGACTGACAGGGTGTCCTTCCTGTTCCCTGTGCTGCGCCGATGACCTCTCCATCATCCAGCGGGAGATTACAGTCAGGTACGTGGAACCCACACTGCAGAGGAGCCCATTCTGGGTTGGGGGGGCTACTGGCACCCACTGGCTTCCAAGTCTTGCTGCCTCCCTGTCCCTGCTGGCAGAGCTTTGCTGAGGTGCCTGAGCATAGCTGCTTCTCCCCGGTGCTGCAGTGGCTGTTGTCAGCTCCTTGGGGCCTGTCTGGCTGCAGCTGTGGGCTCTGTGTGACACATCCCACGTTGTGGCTGCTGCGTGTGACCAGCTCCCTGCCCTGGTCCTGTCCCTGACAGCCCTGGAGCAGGGCTCCTGTCCTGACTGCTGAGTTACCCTGGGCTGTTGGTCCCTGTTCCTGGCAGTTCATGTCCTGTTTGAGCAGGACAGCCCTTGTCCCTCACACGGGGCACAGCCCAGTCCCAGGGTGCATGGGAATGTCCTGCCCTGCAGAGCTGTGGCACAGCTATGGGGCCTGGTCCTGGCCAAAGCTGGTGCAGAGGCTACAGCAGCAGTATTGTGGTCCAGGAGGTTTGCCCTGATCTTTTTGGGTAGTCCAGCTCTGGGATCTCATGCCTGGTATCTGACTTGGGGTGCTCTTCCCCAGGCGGGAAGGCCAAGCATGATGCTGACCTTCCAAGGGTTTCTTCTGGAGCCTTCCTTCGGTGGGGTCACGTCCCTCCAAGGGCCCAGTGCTGTGGCTCTGTGTGCTGCACACCTGACCCCCTTCCTCTCTGCAGGGCAGCCCTGGCCTCTGCCCACCAGGGACAGCCACTGCCGAAGACGCTGAGCGTCCTGGAGAGCACGCCGCAGGTGCGGGGCATGCACACCATCATCAGGTACATCCCTGCCCCCAGGCCCCTTCTCTAGGCTGCTTGGTGGGCTCACACGAGGCCTGCAGTGAGTTTTTCCCCTTTGCCCCTGGGACCTCAGTCGTGGGTGTTGGCCTGGAGCCGAGTGGCTGAATGGAGCTGGCCCTGGCCCCATGGGCACTTCTCTGGTAACCAGATCTCTGGACATCTGCTTTGGGTGATTCCTGAGCCAAAGGCAGGCTTTTTCTACAGTGGGAAGGGACTGGTTGGCTCTTCCCTCACTGGAGCACAGGTGAAGCAGCTGGTGGCATGGAGCAAGGTACCCCTTGCCCCTCTGCCAGGGCACTTGGATTTAGAGCTCGCTTAGAGGAGGGACCTGGGCAGCTGCTTCTATGACTTCACCACTCTTGATCTTTTCATTCCCCTCTGATGCTCCTTTTTTTCAGGTGACAGTAGCATCAGTTAGTGGGGGCTCAAGGGCTGGGGCCTTTAGGACTACCTAAAGAGAGGTGCCTTGTTTCTGTGGCTGCAGAACCTGACAGCCCCCAGGTGTGTTTGTCCACAGCAGAGAGGGCATGTTGAGCACAGGTCGTCCTGTGCCTGCTCATGCTGTGACTGCTATGGCACCTGTGTGTTGGTTTGGAAAGTGTAAGCTCATGTCCTTGTGAGACACTTGGAGAGGACTGAGTGCACTTTCAGTAAGTTTACAGATGACACCAAGTGGGGTGGGATGTGGATCTGCTGGAGAGCCGGAAGGCTCTGAAAAGGGATTGGGATAGGCTGGATCAGTGTGCTGAGACCAGCGGTGTGAGGGTCGTCAAGGCCAAGTAAGTGCCAGGTCCTGCTCTTGGGTCACAACAACCCCATGAGGCACGCTAGTCTAGAGGAGCTGAAGTGCTGGAAAGGCCCTGGGGGTGTTGGTCTACAGTGGCTCAACATGAGCCCAGGTGGGCAAGAAGCCAGTGGCACCTGGGCTGTCCCAGCTGGGCACTGCTGGGGCACCTCCAGTGCTGGGGGCAGCTCTGGGCCCCTCCTGGTAAGAGAGCCCTGGAGGGGCTGGAGCCTGTCCAGGGAAGGGGCTGGAGCCCCAGGAGAGGCTGAGGGAGCTGGGAAAGGGGCTCAGCCTGGAGAAAAGGGGGCTCAGGGGGGGCCTTCTCATTGCCTATAGCTTCCTGACAGGAGGATGCAGCCAGGTGAGGGTCAGGTTCTGCTCCCATGGGAAAAGGGACAGGACAAGAGGCAACTGCCTCGGGCTGCTCCAGAGGAGATTTAGGTTGGATATTGGGAGCAGTGTCTTCATGGAAAGGATTGTCCAGCCTCAGCACAGCTGCTCCAGGTAGTGATGGATTTCTCATCCCTGCTGCAATTTAGAAACCACGTGGATGTGGCACTTGGGGGTGTGGGCTAGTGGTGGCCTTGGCAGTGCTGGGGGAGCAGCTGGACTTGATCTCAAAGGGCTTTTCCAACCCAAACAATTTATGATCTTCTGATACTCATGACCACATTCAGGCTGGGCACCTCTTTTCCTTCTCCTGACTCCTTCCTCCTGTGGAAGCACAGGCTCCAAGACAGGTCACAGCAGTAGAACAGGTGATGTGGCACCACTGGCAGGGCCCTGTGCCAGTGCCTGTGTCCCTCCCCCAGGCTGTGGCTCCACCTTTGTACTACAAGTGCCTGATGACCTTAATCTGCTGAGGCTCAGGGCTGTGCTAGGCTGCCCTGGGGGTGGGCCGGGCTTTTCCTGGGTGTGCAGGGCTTTGGCACCGCTGGCCTCACGTGGCTGTGCTGATGCCCACGTGAGAGCAGAGCCAGGGGTGGTGGGGAGGCAGCTGAGCCCATTCCAGATGGTATGTAAGAAATGCCACCTTTCTGAGGAACTTCGGCCCAGCCTGTCAGCTACCCCCTGAAATCCTGCTGGGCCAGTGCCTTTCCCAAACCTGTGAGCTGAGGAGCTCTGCTGGGTGTCTGTGTCAGGGGACAGCGAGGCAGCATGTGTTCCTGGTGAGACTTGGCAGCACTCGTTGGCTTCTGTGTCATTGGGCATGGCATGGGGCTGTTGCTGGTCACCACGTGTGACCCTCTACTCCCGAGATGCTGCTTTTACCTGCTGCCCTTCTCTTGGACTCCCAGAGAGCTCCAGGCTGGTGAGAATCAAACACACCTTTAGCCACATTGCATGTACCTCCATGTGCAAGGTTACTGCACCTTGGCAGATCTGTCTCTTTTCTTCATTAATTGAATCATACAGTGGTTTGAGTGGGAGGGACCTTTAGAGGCTACCTAGTCCAGCCCCTGACATCGGCAGGGAACCTTCCTCTGCACCATGTTCCAGCTGATGGAATGCTCATGGAGTGCTGCTGCTCCCACCAGCACAGCCTTTCCGAGCACCTCCACCTGTCCAGCCTGGCACCTGCATCAGCACAGAGCTCTGAGCCAGGGTTCTCCTCCCTCCCTCCTTTTCCTTTTTCTGGTCTTTCCCAGTGCGGCCCTCAGGAGGCAGACGGTCAATCCAGCACCATTCCCTGTTGTTCCACAGCAGAGGCTCCTCGTGCTCCACCCGTCTGTCTGCTGGGAGGGTGTTGGTGGCAGCAGATGAGCATCGTGGCAGATCCAGGCTGGCATCCGGGGGAAGCGCTCTCTTGAGCAATTTTCTGCTGTTGTGGAGAGACAGAAACTGAAAATGAGTCCCACACTGGAATAGCTGCACAGTTTGAGTCATGAGGCTGAGAATAGATGGGGTATGAAGGATGCAGTGTCAAGATGAGAAGAAATGGTGTCCCATTGCCAGAGGGCATGTTACATGAGATACTGGGAAGAAGTTCTGTGAGGGTGGTGAGGCTCTTCCACAGGTTGCCCAGGATAGCTGGCTGCCCCAAGGTCAGGCTGGACACGGTTTGAGGGAACCTGGTCTAATAGAAGGTGCTGTGGTGGGACAAGATGACCTTTGAGGTCCCTCCCAGCACAGACCATTGTGGGATTCTGTAACTCATTCATGCCCAGATTTCCTGGTGCCTGATACTCTGAGCTGGCTCTCAGCTGCAGACAGTCCAGTTCATGCTCAGAGCTGATGCCATGATCAGGCCCCAGGCAGATCCTCCTGGTCCCTCTGTCGTCTCCTGAGCGTGCTAGGGAAGGCTGAGGTGGTGCTGCCATGCCCAGCAGCAGGCTCCCAGTGTGCTGTAGTGTGCTGAGGTTCATCTGCCTCCTCTGTGGGTAGGAGCAGTGTGTTTCCTCAGGCTTCACCCAGACAGTGATGGCCCCTTTGGCACTGCTCTGCCAGCTGAGGAGGTGGGATGGTGGCACTGATGGATCCTGGTAGTCTGCTGCTGCACTCCCTGCCTCCCTGGCACAGCCCTACCCCCTGCCCTGCTTGTGCCCTGGGCAAGAAGCTTCATGGTTGTGTCTCTGCACTGGGGCCAGGGGTGGTTCCCCATCCCCGGAGGAGCCTGCCTCTGTGGGAGCAGTGCAGGGCCCATCCCACCCAGCCAGGGGCCAGCACAGCCCCTGTGGGTCTCAGTGGGGACATCTGGGGCTGGACAGGCTGCCGTGAAGGCAGGGAGGCTGCCAGGCTCGTGCTGCTCCCAGGCTGCTGTGGGTGGATGTGTGGGTGCAGCCCACCTGCGAGTGCATGCTGACAGCTCACGCTGGGAGCCGTAGGCAGGGTGCCTGTTCCTTCCAGACCACAGCAGATTTTCTGCCTTCCTTGGAGGTGCTGGCTGTGCCCAGACATTTGGGAATGTCTGTATGCCGTGGTCACTGCAGGTGCTCAACCGTGAGTGACCCTGGAATGGCTGCAGGAGCACACAGGGTCAGCAGTGATTATTCATCCTTCTCTGAGTGCTTCAGTGGGGCTGTCTGTCATCCAGCGAGGTGTAAGAAATGGCAGATGATGTATTCAAATACAGAGTAAAAATATTCAATATCCTTCTGCTCCTTCTGCCTCTTCAAGAGTGTTGGCAGCTCCACCTCTTCCATCTGGGAATGGGCAGGTGTCTGTGGGACTCCTCTGTCCTCATGTTCCCCACGAGGCTGGTGGCCAGGGTGCTCCTAGTAGGAAAAGCCATTCACTCTCCCTGTGCTGTGGAGTTAATATCCTGCATGCAGGGCTGGCTTTACCACTCCTGGAGGAGGGGAGAGGTTCTCTGGGAATTGCAGCCCCATGGCAGCTTTATTCTGGTTTATGTTTGTTTTACATCTTGATGCCTTCAGTACGTCAGAGCTGTGAAAAGGGCTTGATGGGTATTTCAGAGTCACCTGGTTCTTGGCAGTGCTTTATCTCTGACTTGGTAGTAGAGGGGAGAGCTGGGGACACGTTCAACTCTCTTCTGTCACCCAGCATGCTCAGCCATCATGCACTATGTCCCTTTCCACAGCAGGATCCTAGTTCATCCTGGCTCTGCTCCTGTTCCCCCCCGGGGCTCCCCAGCACTCACCCATTGCTCCTGAGTTTGTGCTGCCCCAGAACCGATGGTCCTGCCTGACCTGTTCCTGCTCCCCACTATCTCCCAGCTCTCTGATGTCTGTAACTGGTGTTGCATCTCCCTCCCAGGGTAGCCAAGCTGCTCTCTTGCCTCTGTGGTCCTGTCTAAGACAAAAGGTGAGGTCTCAGTGAGCCTTAGCCCCACAGTGCTGGTGATCACTGACTGTGTCACTCCAAGGGTGCTCTGGTTCCCACAGACTGGGACTGCTCTCCATGCTGGTTGGCCTCTGGTGTCCCACGTGTTGTGTGCAGGGGATGGCAGGGGCTCTATTGCCACCTCACACGTGTCATTCCTCCCAGGAACAAGGACACAACCAGGGATGAATTTATCTTCTACTCCAAGCGCCTGATGCGGCTGCTGATCGAACATGCCTTGTCCTTCCTGCCGCTGAAGGTGAGTGCCCACTCTTGGGTGTAGGCACAGCCCCATCCCCATCTCCCCTCCTGGATGCCCCCAATCACAAGGGTCTGGCTCTCCCCACACTCCCTGTGCTCCCCTTTCTGCAGTCGGTCACGGTGGAGACGCCCCAGGGCACGATGTACGAGGGGAAGCGGTTCCACAGGCAGCGGGTGAGAGACGAGCCCTGCTCCCCATGAGAGCACAGCTCCTGGGGTCAGCATGCCCTGGGAGCACCCAGCACGTGTCCTGCCCCTCTCCCAGATCACCGGCGTGTCCATCCTGCGAGCAGGCGAGACCATGGAGCAGGCCCTGACCGCTGTGTGCAAGGACATCCGCCTGGGCAAGATCCTCATCCAGACCAACCTGGACACAGGGGAGCCTGAGGTGAGGCCTGCTGCAGCCTGGCACACCGCCCTGCCCCTCTGGCATGTCACCACGCACCCTTCCTTCCCTCCGCAGCTGCACTACCTGCGCCTGCCCAAGGAGATCAGCGAGGACTACGTCATCCTGATGGACAGCACCGTGTCCACGGGGGCCGCGGCCATGATGGCCGTGCGCGTCCTGCTGGTGAGGGCCCGGCTGGGCGGGTGGGGGCAAGGCTTCCTCTGTGGCCAGCTGGGCTCTCACGTCTCCGTGTGCCACAGGACCACGATGTGCAGGAGGACAGGATCTTCCTGCTGTCGCTGCTGATGGCGGAGATGGGGGTGCACTCCGTGGCCTACGCCTTTCCCCGTGTCCACATCATCACCACGGCTGTGGATAAACGGGTCAACGAGGAGTTCCACATCATCCCTGGCATCGGTGAGGGGTCCAGGGTGTGCTGTACACACTGGCTGGGGCTAGCAACCCTAGGGGTAGACTTGTGGCCACCAAAGGGACGCTGGTGGGGCTGTGCTGCTGTCCCTTCACTTTGTCCCTTTCTCTGCCAGGTAACTTTGGAGACAGATACTTCGGCACCGATGGCCCCTCGGCCTGGTGTGAGAGCGACAGCATGGACTGCTGAGCTGGCTGGCCCCAGGACTACGGGCCAGGCTGGCTGCAGGGCTGGCCCCTATCCCTGCCCCCAGGAGAGGCCCTGAGTTGCCAGCTGTGCCCACCTGCCAGCCCCTGGCTCTCGGACCTGCACAACAAGCCCGTGTTGATGGTCTCCCTCTGCCCCCAAGGACCAATCCTCCCCAGGGAGGAGGAGAAGAGAGGGATGGCCTCTCCTGTGGACCACGGAGAGGGGACATTTAGGGACATTCCTTGTTCCCAGAGCCCTGCCTCTGGGCCTGGGCCAGCCGTGCCTCCGAAGGGAGTGGTGGCCTCCCTGCGGCTGTGCCTGAGGGGGTGCTCACCTTCTACCCAGGGGAAGAGGGGGATGGGGTCCAGTCCAGGCAAGCTCCATGCCTGGAATCCGTATTTATTTGTATTTATTGTGGGCAGCCCCTGGCTCCAGCGGGACCCTCCGACATCAGGGACTGGACCTCATGGATTCACCCCGTCCCCGCCAATCCACACTCCATCCCCGATCCCAGGAGTCGGGGGGTTGGCATCGGGCTGCCTTCCCGGTGCTGTCCCATTCCCGGTGACCAGGGAGTGGTGAGGCGTCCCCGGTGCTGCCCTTGTTGCTCAGGTTCTTTTTCCAAAGGGCAGCGGCAGCCTTGCTCCCCGCCTCGCCCCCGCCACCGGCGGCAGCAGGAGGGTCCGGGGGCGGGGGTCTGCCTCCCACCCCGTGCTGTCCCGGGCCCGGCCGTGCCGTCACCACCCCCTCGCCGCCGTTTTGTACCAATAAAGGAGCAGCGCGCCTCCTGCAGCCGCCGGACCGGGGTCGGGCGGTGCGGGATGTCCGTGGGGCCGGAACGGGCTCTGCCCTGTCCCGGCCGTGCCCCGTACCGGGTGTACTCTGTACCGGGGCGGGCCGTGCCCTGTACCGGGTGCCGCCGGGGCGGGCTCTGCCCTGTCTCGGCCGCGCCCCGTCTCGGCCGTGCCCTGTACCGGGTGTGCTCTGTCCCGGGTGTGCCCGGTGCGCTCCGGCCCGGGTCGCGGGCGGCGCGTGCGCAGAGCGGCGGCGGCGCGGGCGGAAGCGGCGGCGGGCGCGGGCAGGCCCGAGGCGCTCGGTGCTGCGTCCCGTCCGACCCCCCGAGCGCCGGCGCCGCCATGGCGGAGCCCCCGCGGCCGCAGCGGAAGCTGTCCCGGGTCGGGGAGAGCCTGTACCGCGTGCTGGGGCTGCAGAAGGGCAGCTCCCCCGAGGAGATCAAGAAGGCCTACCGGTACGGGGGGGTCCGGCGGGGGCCGCGGGGGCGTCCCGGGAGCCCCGGCACGAGGGTCCGTCCCGCGAACGCGGCCGGGGTCTCCTCCGGATGGTCCTGGTCCCATCCCGGCGGTCAGGGTCGGTTCCGGGAATGGAGGCTGTATCCCCGTGCCGGGGGTCCTGGTTGCACCGCGGGGGTCGGGGTCTGTCCCGGGGAGTGAGGCTGTGACCCCATGCCGGGGGTCGCCCCGCTGCACCCCACAGGAAGCTGGCTCTCAAGTACCATCCCGACAAGAACCCCGATGACCCGGCGGCGGCCGAGCGGTTCAAGGAGATCAACAGCGCCCACGCCACCCTGAGCGACGCGGACAAGCGGCGCCTGTATGACCAGTACGGCTCCCTTGGCCTCTACGTGGCCGAGCAGTTCGGCGATGATGCTGTCCGGCACTACTTCCTTATGTCCAAGTGGTGGTTCCAGGTGAGCCCGGCGGCCGCGGGGCTGGCGTGACGGGGTTGGCGGGTCGGGTGAGCGTAGCGGTTTGCTGTTCTGGCAGGCTGGTGGATTGGGTGTGATGAGTGTGGGATCCGGTGGGCTCACAGTGCATCTGTCCCTGATGCAGGCACTCCTGCTATGCTGCGGTGCCCTCACCTGCTGCTGCTGCTGCTGCTGCTGCTTCTTCTGCTGCGGGACGTGCTGCCAGCCCAAGGAGGACGAGTCCTACAAGTACGTGGACCCCAAGGACCTGGAGGCACAGATGCGTGCAGAGGACAGCGGTAAGTCAGGCTGGAGTCCAGCAGCTGGGAGCACCTCTGTTTGCTTTGTGGGGGCTCTGGGGTCTCCCCATGTCCCGTCTCATATGGGGGACAGAGTTCTGGCTCAGGCCTTGGGTTGGTTTTAGCCACAGCTCTTAGTTCCAGCCAGCCCTCGGTGTTTCCTTTGTGGGCCAGGGCCGGTGACAGTGACAGAGGGAGCCACTGCATGGGCCATGGGTGCACCTTCTTCTTCCCTCTGGACAAAGCTCCCTGAACAGGCCTGAAGCTTAGAGACCCTTGGGCCTGTGCCCTTTGGGGCACAGAGCACGGGAAGAGCAGCTGTGCTCCAGGCCAGCTCTGTTCTCTAGCACTGACCTTACTGGTGTAAGTGGGGCTGGGTGACTCCTGCAGATTTCCATAGGGTCGGGGCACTCCCGTGCAGCTCTGCACTGGCCAGGGGTGTGGGAGCCCTTGTGGGGCTACTGTGAGATTTATGCTCACTGGCAGCACAGGATGGGGCTGAGCCACTGATCTGCAGCTCTTCCTTTCCAGATCCTGTTGTAGCACAGCCCCCGCCTGCCAGCACGGAGCCGCTGCCAGCCAGCACCAGGAGTGATGCCTGAGGCCGGCCCCATCCCGCCGACTCCCCCAGGACTTGGGGCAGGCATTCTCCTTTGGGACTGTCACTTTCTGGGACCATGGTCCCGCCCCTCCCGACTGGCTCGTCAGCCCCGGGAGGGATAGAATCTCAGGTTAATTTGGCCAGCATCAATGCACAGGCTCCTGGGCCCTTGCTCGAGCTCCAGGGCAATGCCCCGGCGTCCCAGCACTGGTGGTGGCAGTGGCCTGGAGCCCGTGCTGCTGTGGCCCTCTTTAGTGCCTTGCCTGTGCCCCTGTCGGGCACCGAGCACCAGGCACGAGCAGAGATGCTCCAGGCCGAGCTCCGTGGCTCGGGCAAGGGAGCTGAGCGTGTCCAAGACCATTAGCACTGTAACCTCTGGGGCTGGGCTGAGCCCGCTGCCCCCTCATGCCGCCCTCCCGATGGGTGCTGGGTGCCAAACGCTGCTGTGGGGTTGGGGTGCTTCTGTCTGTACCCCTTTCCTCTGCCCTCTGGGTTTGTCTGGGTTTTTGTGGGCACCATTAAAGGCTGACGGGAGGGAAGCGTGTGTGTATGTCTGGGCTCTGTCCAGGGCTGTGCCTCTGCCTAGTGTTGTCCACACTAGGGGCTGTGCCCATGGATTCTGCAGGGTGCTGGACTGCCTGGGGTGTGCAGTAAGAAGGTCATGTCCTGTGTGGAGTGGTCATGTCAAGTGGAGTGAACGTCACTTGTCTCCTGTCACCCACCTGGTCCCACTCTGTCCCCTACTGCTGGCTCCCACAGGCTGTGCTCTTCCCAGTCCTTGCTGCTGCAGTCCTGGAGCCTTGCTCGCACTGCCCAGTGCTGCCCCTGCTTCTGTCCTGCTCCCTAGGGAGCTGTGGCCCTGCCGAGGGCCAGGGCTGGCAGGGATGGCACCGAGGGGGGCTCAGTGAGCCGCTTGCCCTTTCTTCCCATCTCTGGGCACCACCTCGCCCCGCAGCTGCATGGGCTCTGCCTCACTCCCTAAATATAGCCAGGGTGCCAGGGTGAGTGAGGATGGGCTGTCCTGGCACCAGCTCCTCCACCCTGCTGTTCGGGGGGGCTGGCACGGAGCTGGGGATCTGGGAGACCCCAACCTGCCCCAGCCTTGCTGCCTGCAGAGGGGGGCACAGACTCCTCAGCGTGACTGCTAGTCCTGCAGCCCCTGCAGCAGCCAGCCCTGGTCCCCCGGAACTCCTCCCCGCGCAGAGGATCCGCGGTCCCGAAGTTCAGTCGGTCCCAGGGAATCAGCCGGTCCCGGTATCAGCCGGTCCCGGTACCAGTCGGTCCCGAGGGGTGGGCAGGAACGGTGACTCAGTGTCACCCGACGCCGCCGACAGCTGCGGCCCCGGCGGGGCGGGGGTGGCTAAAATTAGCGCCGGGGGCCGCGGCCGGGGCCGAAACAAAGCGGGCACCGGGCGGCCGGAGCGGAGCCGCGGGACAGAGCCGGGACGGATCGGGCCGGGCCGGAACCGTGGCCATGAACTTCGCGGTGGGGCTGAAGCCGCTTCTGGCGGAGGCGCGGAGCATGGAGAGCCTGGAGAAGCAGCTCATCTGCCCCATCTGCCTGGAGATGTTCTCCAAGCCCGTGGTTATCCTACCCTGCCAGCACAACCTCTGCCGCAAGTGCGCCAACGACGTCTTCCAGGTGGGACCCGCTGGTGGGGCGGGGGAGGCGCCGGGACCTCCGTCTCCAGGACCCCGGTCCTGCGGGTGGTGGCCCCGTTATTCTGGGATCCCTGGCCAGCGAGGCGGGGGGGCGGGCGGCACCAGCAGCACCGGGATCCTCTTCACAGGGGAGGCCTGGCCTGGCACTGGCACAGGGAATGCCGGCTCCTGGACCGGCCGCTGGGACCTCCGGCTGGGCTGCGCTCGGTGCCGCTCTGGGCTGGCAGGGACTGTTAACGGGAGGCAGGGCCCGTGTGTGTGTCCTTGTGCCTGTCCACACCTGTGTCCGTGCTCTTGCCCGTCTCCATCTCTGTCTCCGTGCCCGGGTCCGTGCCGGGGGCTGTGGGGCGCAGATCCGTGCGGGCGGGAGTTGCCGGGAATGCCAGGGGTGCAGGGTGCCGCCGCCGTGACCCCTCGCGTACCCCCCAGGCCTCCAACCCGCTGTGGCAGTCTCGGGGCTCCAGCGCGGTGCCGTCGGGCGGGCGGTTCCGGTGCCCGTCGTGCCGGCATGAGGTGGTGCTGGACCGGCACGGGGTGTACGGATTGCAGCGGAACCTGCTCGTGGAGAACATCATCGACATCTACAAGCAGGAGTCGGCTCGGTCCGGAGGCGAGGGGACCCCGGGGCGGGAGGGGCGAGACCTGCGGGTGGCAGCGAGCACACCGAGAGGGCTGGGGAGGGGATCCCAACAGGAACTGCGGAGTCATGGGGCCCTTACAGGGCCGGGGAATATCCTTGGGGCTGGGGGTGTCTCCGGGGCCGGTGGTATTTCTGGTGCCAGGAAAGTCCCTGGAGTTGGAGGGTCCCTGGGAGCCAGAGGTGTCTGTAGGGCTGGGCAAGGTCCTGGAGCTGGGGCTCTCTGGGGTGTCTCTGGGAGCCGGGGTGTCTATTTGACGCCCCCAACCCCCACGTAGACCCCTTCATGCCAAGGCTGAGCAGCACCTCATGTGTGAGGAGCACGAGGACGAGCGGATCAACATCTACTGCCTGCGCTGCGAGGCGCCCACCTGCTCCCTGTGCAAGGTGTTCGGGGCACACAAGGACTGCGAGGTGGCCCCGCTGCCGGCCGTCTACCAGCGCCAGAAGGTGGGGGGGCCCCTGGGGTCTGGGGGGGCCGGAGGTACCCACAGAGCCACCCTCACACCCAAGCCCTCTCCTCCCAGAGCGAGCTCAGCGATGGCATCGCCATGCTGGTGGCGGGGAACGATCGGATCCAGGCCATCATCACACAGATGGAGGAGATCTGCCACACCATCGAGGTTGGGACTGAGGGCTGTGCTGACTGAGCCCCGGGGCTGTGCTGGGGGGACGGGGGCAGCCCCTGACTCCCGTCCCGCAGGAGAACGGGCGGCGGCAGAAGCAGCACCTGGGGCTGCGGTTCGACGCGCTCTACGGGATCCTGGAGGAGAGGAAGAAGGAGCTGCTGCAGAGCATCGCGGCCGAGCAGGAGACCAAGCTGCAGCGTGTCCGTGGGCTCATCCGCCAGTACGGAGACCACCTGGAGGCCTCCTCCAAACTGGTGGAGTCAGCCATCCAGGCCATGGAGGAACCCCAGATGGCCCTGTACCTGCAGGTTCTGCCAGGGGGACAGGGAGAGAAGGGGACAGGGAGGCTGGGACTGCCCTGGCCCTGTGTGGTAGTGCCATGCTTCCCTGAGGGGTGGGGGGCTGTGGATGCCCCTGGGATGTGCAGGGGTGGACCTGTGGTGGGGATGATGTCTAGGAGACACTGATCCCTCCCTTGCTTTCCTTCACAGCACTCCAAGGAACTCCTGAAAAAGTGAGTGGGGAGAATGGGGGGCAAAAGGCCTGTGGCTGGTGGCCCTCTGTGTGCTGGCCTCTGCAGCTCCCAGGGTGTCTCTGCCCTGCAGGATCACAGACATGTCCAAGGCATCAATGAGCAGCCGCCCTGAGCCTGGCTACGAGAATATGGACCACTTCTCCATCAATGTGGACTACGTGGCTGAGATGCTGAGGACCATCGAGTTCCAGACAGGTGCCTGCACTGGGGAAATTGCTGCTGTCCCGAGGGGGCACTGGGGCTGCCTGGGGTGCCCAGCCCTCAGACAAGCAGAGCCACCCTCACCACATGCCCTGTGTGCAGATCCCACACAGGATTGACGATGTGACCCCACCCTTAGCACTACCCAGGGACCCTGGAGGGTCACTGCTGCCCCAGGCTCTCCCCGGTTCCCACACTGGGCTGCTCACATTCCTCCTGGGAACATCCTGGCGTGCCCTGCTTGGTCATCTCCCTCCTGGCGTGCCCTGGTGTATCCCCATGATGTCGGAGGGAGGGAAGGTCCCAGCTGAGCTGTCCCCTGCCCACAGAGCCACTGGGAGAGGATGAGGGCGATGCCCCTGGGGATGGCAGTGAGGCCACAACGGATGAGGACCGTCTGGACAGCCTGGAGGTGCCCGAAGCTGCTGAAGGTGAGTGCATGCCATGGCTGCCCAGTACAGTGTCCAGTGCCACGCCTGTGTGTCTGTGCCATGCTCCACATGCAGCAGCACGAGTCCCTCAGGGTGCCAGGGTACCCTGGGTCGATCTTGTTCTCTCTTTCCCTCTGCAGATGTGGGGCCGAGGCAGAAGCCAGCGAGTTCTCCTCACGGTGAGACCCTCATGGGGAGTGAGATGGGCACAGCCATGCGGTGCTGTGGGGCAGAGGAGACACCTCCTGGGAATGGGGATGAGGATGTGGATGGGAAGGCCACACCTCAGGCTCCCCCCAGGCCATCCTTGTCTCCTTGCTTCAGGGAGTGGGAAGGGAGTCCTGGGGTCATAGGGCTGAGGCTTCTTTTTTGCACAGGTCAGCACTGAAGTGAAGCCCTGGGGTGATGCTGGCATGTCCTCAGCTATGGCTGTCCCTGTCACACCTGGCTATGGCTGTCCCTGTCACACCTGGCTATGGCTGTCCCTGTCGCCCCCACCCTGGCTATGGCTGTCCCTGTCCCCCCCACCCTGGCTATGGCCATCCCTGGCACTCTCAGGCGAGCTCCATCCCTGCTGCTGGAATTCCCAAAATGGACGCTGGCCCTCTCCAACATTAAAAGTGTGTGAGGACACGTTGTCTCGTGTGGTGCCTCTGCCCCATCACCCCAGCAGTGCCCCCAGGCAAGGGGCTGAGACCCCAGAGCCCAACTCGGGCACTTTGAGCCCTGGGCCCTGCGAGAGGGGCTCTGTCCTGCTGGGCGAGGATGCTCAGGTGGCCCCATCCTGCCACCCCCGTCTGGGTGCCCGCGGCAGCGCCGTGCCCCGCATCCCCGAGCAAACACTGCCGGGATGAGCTGGCTGAGTACACACACAGCCACATCAGCGCTGGCTCGGGCCCGCGCCCCCGAGCCCCGCAGGGTCCCCCGGGACGGCCGCAGGAGCCGTGGCTGCGTCACCGCCTCGCCCGGTCGCCATGGCGGCGCGGCCGGTGATGCACATGGCCAGCGGTCCTCGGGCCGGACGGGTCCCCGGGGCCTGGACGGGTCCCCTGGGGCTGGGCTCCACGGGGAGGTCCCCGCTGCCAAACCCTGCCCAGCCGGGGGACACCGAGAGCTGAGCCCTGGAGACCCCCCAGCCCCGGCAGACGGCGACAGCCGCGCTGGTTTGGGGTTGGGGTGCACGGGTGACAGACGGGACATCTCTGCTCTCCTGTGTCCCCGAGCTGCCACTCGGAGCAGAGGTGATGCGGCTGCCAGCGAACCAACCCCAGAGCCCGGCCCAGCTTCTCCTTCACTCACCAGAACCAGCACCGGAACCAGCGCCCCGTTCTGTGTGCTCCTGCACACACCAGCACCAGAACCAGAACCAGCGCCCCGTTCTGTGTGCTCCTGCACACACCAGAACCAGCACCAGCGCCCCGTTCTGTGTGCTCCTGCACACACC